ACACACACACACACACACACACACACACACACAAAAAGGAACTTTTTCATTTTGGAAAATGGCCATGAAGATGTATGTGCTGGAAGCAGCAAGGGCTCTGTCAGCTGAAGCATGCCAAGGCACAGTGGAAACTAGGGAAAAAGGGCACGAATTGAGCACACTTTCTGAAAGAGAGGCTCCTTTCTTCCTTTCCTTTTTTGTTTCATTCATCCTTCGCATCAAGTCTGCATTCTGCAGCTTTCTTTGGAAAGGCAACCTGCCATATATAGTGGATAGTTTGTGCGCCGCACTTATGGTTGAGAGCCAGCTTGGTGTAGTGCTTTGAGCATTGGACCAGGGTTCCTGTCCTGGCTCATCTGTGGAAGCCCATGTACCTTAGGCAAGTCACACTCTCTCAGCCTCTCAGGTTGGCAATGGCAAACCCTCTCTGAAGAACCTTGCCAAGAAAACCCCACGACAGCTTCACCTTAGGGTTGCCAGAAGTCAGAAACGACTTGATGGCACACAACCACAAATTTAAGAAAGTATTAACATTGGTGCCGGCTCTCATGCGATTTAAAGATTTATGGGGAAGAGGGGGTGACTTTTAAATATCTCAGCAAAGAAACAACTTCAGAAACAACTTGAAGGCACACAACAACACCAATACACTCCTCTTTCCTTAAAAGTTACTCAAAGTTACTCCTGTTGACTTAAAGTTAAGAGGTTCAGTGGCGTGACCTTGGGTCTGTCACTTTTTTTTAAACCCGACAAAGAGATTAACTTCTTAATCCTAATCTCTATAGAAGGAAAATAGTTAGAATTAAAGGGTATTTTTTTTAAAAAAAATATTATGTTCAAAAGTCTTAAAGATGATCAAATTCAGATTACTGAATTACTTAGATTCAGTCATTCAGATTCCGTAGACTAATTTCTTTACATAAAAATGCATCCTTTCATAAAAAAATGTCCTTAAATGCAAACACATTCAAACATGGTTTATTGGGTCCACAAGAACTGAGTACGTGAGTTTGTGTGTGTAAGTAAATTAAGTGTCTTCTATGTTGTTGTTTGTTGTTGTGCACCTCCAAGTCATTTTTTTTTTTGACATATGGTGACAGGGAGGCAACCCTATCATAGGGTTTTCTTGGAAAGTTTCTTCAGAGAGAGTTTGCCATTGCCATTCTCTGAGGCTGAGAGTGTGTGACTTTCCCAAGGTCACCCAGTGTGTTTTTACATTCCAGCAGGGAATACTCCAGAGTTGTAATTGAATACACAAACTGCTATACCATGCTGGTTAGACACTAAACCATGCTGGTTAGCTCTGCTCTGGTACCCTAACAAACTAAACTTCCCAGAATTCCATAGCACTGAGGGATGACAGTTAAAATGGTGTCAAACCGGATTATTTCAGCAGTGCGGATTCAGCCTTTAACTTCAGCTACACTTGTCTGTGGTTAACACAAAGCCCTCTCTGGGCTCACGATGGGAAGACTTGCTTCATCCATTCTAACAGATGGACAGTCCCTCTTTGTCAATCCTTCTTCACTTTTGTGGAGTGTCTGCATTTTGTAGATTGTTTTTTTTTCTTAAAAACGTCTTTCTCAACCATTTCTGAGACTTGTTCTCAAGTTTCTCCGAAAACAAAATCAGGTTTCTGCCTGTCCTAGCTGATGCCATTTCAAAAAAGACAGCTGACAGCTAAAATTTGAAACCAGCCTCTAGATTCTGAAATGAAATCACTAAATTTGTTGACTAGATGTACAAAAGGTTACATTGTTCTTTTTAAAAAGCAACAGTTGCACTGTTTGAGTCTTTAGCTTTAGGAAACACTGCAGAATGACAAAGAATTGTATATTGTCCAAGAACCACAAGCCTTAAATTATAGCATGGTGTAGTGAGTGAGTGTTAGACTATGACTCTGGAAACCAGGGCTTGGATCCCAGCTCAGTCATATAAACCCACTGGGTGAGCTTGGACAAGTCACACTCTCTCAGCCTGAGAGGAAGGCAGTGGCACACCCCTTCTAAAGAAACTTGCCAAGAAAACCCCATTGGTTGCCATAAGTCAGTTGCCTTAAATTTAGGGTTGCCATAACTTGGAAACAACCTGAAGGCACACAACAACAAACAAGCATCCATTGGTTCATATCCACATTTCCAAGTATATTATCTGAATTTGGAAAAGTTGCTTTCAGGCTGCCTACAGGAGTTCTGGGAATTGTACCATGTAACTTACCCAAGCTCTGTGCATTCATACATTTCATTCAGATTGTAGCACAGATTTCCCAATTTAGTGTCCTCCAAATGTATGGATTGCTACTTTCATCATCATCAGTCAGCAAAGCCAGTGCTGTGGTTGGGGATGATAGATGTTAGAGTCTAACCAGGAAGGCTGTTGTGATGTCTTATGAACAGAAAAGGGAGGTACAAAGAGGGAAATCATCATCATCATCATCATTATCATTATCCCCTCCATTCATATCTAGGTGG